AGGTACTTGTATCGGCCTAAAATATTATAACACTTGGAGCTTTTGCTAATCAAATTAATGCTTTAGAAACTACAAGAAATGCACTACGAGCTACCCTCAATATATTGATAGATATCATCGTGTTGATCTGTACAAGCGAAAAGAAAATGCACAATTTTCGGCCATTTTCGGCGGCGGCAGGTAGCTAAAATGACGATTTTCGGACTTTCCTCGATTTCGAAAAAACTAAAGCGCTTCAGGACCTTTGAATGGTATTTTCGAAAACAACTCACTATAGAGGTTATGTGGGCAAAATATGAAGAAATCTGAAATTTCGCGACCGTCATCTCATTTTCGGTATTTACAGGAATCGGCTCTTAAGAATGTCAAAGACACCATACAGGAGGAATGAAATGGGGAATATGTCATAGCAAAAATATCTGAGAAACTAACTTCTCTGATTTGGTCCCCAGCGTCTTCTGCAACAGGTCAATCTTCACCCGGCTTTCTGACTTGGTATCCGGCCCTTCATCTGATAGTTTGGCCTTAATCTTTCTTTCTGACTTGGTATCCGGCCCTTCATCTGATAGTTNTCTGAGAAACTAACTTCTCTGATTTGGTCCCCAGCGTCTTCTGCAACAGGTCAATCTTCACCCGGCTTTCTGACTTGGTATCCGGCCCTTCATCTGATAGTTTGGCCTTAATCTTTCTTTCTGACTTGGTATCCGGCCCTTCATCTGATAGTTCAGCCTTGATCTTGCTTTTTGACTTGGTATCCAGCCCTTCATCTGATAGTTCAGCCTTGATCTTTCTTTCTGACTCAGTATCTGGCCCTTCATCTGATAGTTCGCCCTTGATCTTTCTTTCTGACTTGGTATCTGGCCCTTCATCTGNATAGTTCAGCCTTGATCTTGCTTTTTGACTTGGTATCCAGCCCTTCATCTGATAGTTCAGCCTTGATCTTTCTTTCTGACTCAGTATCTGGCCCTTCATCTGATAGTTCGCCCTTGATCTTTCTTTCTGACTTGGTATCTGGCCCTTCATCTGATAGTTCGGCCTTGATCTTTCTTTCTGACTTGGTATCCGACCCTTCACCCGATACTTTGGCCTTGATCTTGCTTTTTGACTTAGTATCCAGCCCTTCGTCTGATAGTTCAGCCTCGATATTTCTTTCTGACTTGGTATCCGGCCCCTCATCTGATAGTTCGGCCTTGATCTTACTTTCTGACTTGGTATCTGGCCCTTCATCTGATAGTTCGCCCTTAATCTTCCACTTTTTCAACTTCTTAATGTCAGACTTCAGCTGGCGAACTAAGAAAACAGAAATCATGAGTTCTGGCATTTGAACAGCACTGATTTTTTTGCCAGTGCCATTCAAATATGTATTATTTTGTGAATTTCAGGTCAAAAGTTGTTTTCTTATGATAGCAGTTTAAATCTCGTAAACTCTAAACTAGCCAAAACAGTCGCTTAAAAATTGTGTGAGAAAGAAAACGCACAATTCTGTAGGTCCAACCAATTATTCAGGCTGATTTGTTATTGATTCTTTATATAACATACCCCTCTGAAGATAAAATGAAAAATCTGTTTGGGATTTCTATTTTAATCCGTCTTTCATCACAAAACTTAATATAAACAACGAGCTGACTCAAGCTTTAATTTATGTATGTTTGCATTCCGACGAACAAGCTAGACAAAAGTACGGCTTGTTATTGCCATTTTAAAATTACAGTTATACTTCTATTTCAAAATTACTTTGTTACAATACGGCCATAGAATGTAATAGAAGCTGCCAATAATTTTTAGTGAATATGAAAGTAATTAAAGTAAATTTATATTTGTCGGATCGGATTTCAGGCGAACATGTTCATTTCATATTTTTGTGATGAACTTTGGTAACTTTGTTTTGTACTTTTGTGGCTACTTCAGGGTCTCTTATTCATCGCTAAACGGTGAGTTCGATATATTTTCTTCAGGTGTTTTTTCTAGTTACAATGGATTAGTGCGTTCCGCTACGGTTTCTGGGAAACGAAACATCTGGTTTCAATATTTGTCGCTGTAAACTACACACAAACAGGTTTTATCTGCTTACTGAACTCAAACTAAATGATCGAAAAGGATAATAGCCAATGTACAATACATACACTGCTGAAATGCGGGACAAAGGTTTTGTTTTTTCAAAGTAGCAAGCTTTTCACTGGTTAAGTGACATTATTCTTGTTACATTCAATTAGAGAGTGTCGCGACTAGCTACCCAAATGGAAAGTACAATAGTACGAGAACAACAGTGCGCCCAAATCATCGATATCAGCTCGGTGGAGGATGGTTCCAGAAACGAGTCTGTCGCTACCCAGACCACACTGGCAAAGCCAAGCCAGATCGTAGTATTAACAAACTAAAGTCCAAAATCATATTTCATGAGTTGAACAATTTAGTGCCAGTGGGCTCAGGTAAGATTAATTTATTCTTGCTGATGTAGGATTGTCATTATTGCATGTTTTTCAATTAAATTTTCCGATTTTGTCGTAAAAAAAGAGACACTCAAACAAATGATGTTAGGCGCCGTTTCGACCAAAAAGATAGCCTGTGCGCAAAGTCAAACAAGCAAGCCGACGAGGAGTCTGGAGAGGAACGGGAAAAGCCACGTTTTCCCGCCTGCCTCCTCCCCCCCTCTCCCCTTATTTCCAAAGATTTTTTGTGTTCCCGTTCCATCTCGCGCAAATTGCGGACTCCTATAGAGATCTGTTTTACTTTAGTTATGATATTTCTTGGTTAGGTCTCTGCACTGACTTGCCATGCTCATGACGGGTGTAGCTGCCAACAAAAGAGATGAAGATAAACCAGAAGTAAGAGGGAGCTCTAGGCTCGCTGAGAAGAGTCCAGTCAGCTTTTAGAATCTGTTTTTGCCACCGGAAACTCCGTTGCCATTTGGCCAAGAGTTATCACTGGATGAAACCCATGAGACTCCTGGTTATCAACCCTTTGCACTTCATCGTGTCTCTTGAGAAGCTGAATGACTTTTTGGTGAGTCGTGACTGTAGTCCAGTGCGGTACCGTGTTAGAGGTATGTTGTCCAAGGCAGCATGACGCACTAAAAGAGAACATCTAAGAAAGGTTAGGCAAGTTATTGTTGCTGTCGTAGAAACAGTTGCACCTGGACAGGAAGATGAAACTTGGGAAGAACTGACACGGTCTGGTATCTTGGATACTCAATTTGATGCTAGAAACATGGGGAGAATGCAGATAGAAACGGACCATTCAATACATGCCCTAGCTGCTCCTTACCGCCAATCTGAGGCAAGAGTTACTAAGTTGCAGATTTTGTCAATCATTGTCGATATATTCCCGCAACGGAAAATTCAAGATCCACTCCCTGAAGTTACAAAATACCAACTCTTTCAAGCTAAAAGAAATTTAATTTCGTGTGGAAGAAGGTTCATATCAAGTCCTCATTTTGTTCAGCACGTTGCCCACGGTACGCGCACGCTGAAGTTATCTACGGGAGAGACAATCAGTATGCCTAATGCTGTATGTAATATGGTTGCAGTGAGGATAATCACGCAATACGTATCATATTGCAAAGAAATCGCATTCAGCCATTTAAGTGAAAGAGAGCTGCACAGGTTTTAAAGTATTGTCCCGCCCAACAGAGAAAAGCACTACAGGGCCCGGACAAAATTAGCGCTGATGGACTGCGTGGAGTTAAGAAGCTTGACAATGTTATCACGAAGCTTTGAGAAAGGGGCAAGAGTTCTGAATGGGTGACTGAAGTGATCAACCTTTTGATGGCTTTCAAAAGTTACCTGAAAGACAGCTATCGTCTGCACGTCTCCACTTCCTCGAGGTGTCCAGACCACTGGAGTATGTTTGCCTTGAGTGATCCATCAGAGCCAGAATTTCCTAAAGTATGTGATCATTCCCATGACTTGGTGTGCGATGACTGTGAACGTATTTACCATCTAGAAAGTTTGATGAGGAATGCTTTCTCAGACCCTGAAGTTGTTTTTTACAGTAATAACGAAAAAGAAGATAAACTCCACGATGTGCAAGTTTCTCTGGAGTCAATCTACGCCTGGAAACGTCATCTGCTAAGGGCGTTACACCAGGACAGAGCAAGACAAGAAGTCTTGGATGAAGTCGATTCAAGCAAGATTTTTACCACGCAAGATTTTGCAATGAAATTCTTGCCACGCCGTTTCAAAGAAACACAGATGGAATGGTTCGGTAAACGTGGAATAAGTTGGCACATCTCGCACTGTGTGCGTCGTACCAGCTCACACGAGTGTGAAGTCTCTGTGCACTCGCACTTACTTCGTCAGTCAATCAGCCAGAACAGTGAAGTTGTTGCTGCAGTTATGCATCACACCCTCAGGAAGAAAAGGCCACACACCCAGAGATTAATGAAACATTTTTTCGAAGCGACTGTGCAGGATCGTATGCGTCAGGTGGACTACTTGTTCACATACGGCATATCGGTAGGTTGACTGGTATCTCCATCAAACGCTATGATTTCTCAGAGCCACAAGCAGGCAAGGGACCGTGTGACAGGAGCTCCGCCCACCAGAAATCCCATGTTAACCGGTTTCTTAATGAAGGAAATGATGTAATGTCAGCAGAGCAAGTCAAAAAAGCTTTGGAGTCACATGGCAGCATACGAAGTGTTGTTCCGTATGTGGTGTAGTATCCAGAGTCAGCTAGTAAGTGCCCCACACCACGCATTCCAGACGTAAGTCTTCTTCATAACTACCAGTATTGTAACGAGGGCCTAAAGGTATGGAGAGCATACAATATTGGCACCGGGAAACTGGTTGCAGGGGAGAATCTTGATAAGGATAGCAAGATACTACCTTCTGAACTTAGAATCATTGAGAGTGGATCACAGGGGGATAAAGAATCTGTCAAGAAAGATAATACTTGCTTGGCAGCAGCATTGCCTGGTCCGGTGAAACCTCTAAGGTCACCCGAAGAATCTGGAGACAAGGAAAGAGATTGCGGTCTGTTCAGCTGCCTTGAACCAGGGCGCATCAAGCAGTACATTACAATGGGCAAGCTTGAAAAGCACATCGCCTCAAAGAAGCACGCCTTTCAAGATATTTCTGAGCACCTTGGTGATAAAGTAATTAAGAGATGGGCCTAACAGTTTCAGCAGGTAACGTCAGAAAATCTTTCATCCCAACTGGAAAACAAACTGTCTTCACTCCGTCCCACAGAAGACCTCAGCTTCACCATACACCAGGTTCTTCAGAAAGGCTGGGCTTAGAAGGTACCTAGGCGGGCAACACGTTTTTCTGACAAGGTCAGAAATTACCTCCAAGAGAAATTCGACATCGCTAATGCTACAGGACATAAAGCTGATCCTGTGCAAGTCTCCATCGAAATGAGATGTGCAAGAGATGAGCTTAGTAGGCATTTATTTGCCGCAAGCGAATGCCTTCAAACACAGCAGACCCGTTCATTTTTCTCCAGGCTTGCCATAGCACAGAGGAAGAACGTGCAAAGCCCAGCAGATCTAATTGAGGACGACGTATGAGATCTAGAAAGTAATTCTCAAGCAGAGCAGTATGAAACGGAGTCGCAAGAGCTGCGTGAAGGTATCATCGCTGAGGTCGCAGAGAAGCACCCTATTTGTTATGAACACTTCAACCTGTGTGAACTAAGTCAGCAAAACAAGTTGAAAAAGTTCAACATAGACATGCTTGTAAGGATTTGTGAGCATTTTGAATTAGACATCGCCACTGTTTCCAGAAACAGAAAGGAGGGTTTTATTAATCAACTCCAAGAGCTCATTGGAAGTTGCAGCTGCAATATGTAACAGTTTGACTTAAATTTACAAAGATAGACTTTCATTGCATAGAAACGCTGGTTTATGCAACTGAAGCTCAGAAACGTTTCGAGAAAAGCGAAAAAAAAAGATGGTACGCGATAACATTACATGCCTTAGATACTGCAGAAATTTAGTTTGTTGTATGTAACTACCATTTGGACAAAAGACTGTAGTTGCATGACCTAAAAAATCAGCCCAGTGACTTCATGGTCAAAATAACACTTAGGTCTTAATTGCGACAATCTGAGGTGATGGAACCTTTTCGCTTTAAATAAAGCCAGAGAAGTTGTTGTTTATGGGAGAAAAGAAGTCTAGACATTTTTAAATCAAAATAAATACCGATTTTATTATCTCAAAAAGTTGAATAGCCTTTTGTGTTTGGGCGGTTTAGAAAAATCGGTCACACAAGTTTATGTTGTGTGTTATTAATGAATAACAGCTATTAACAGCATTGTCAATAGCTAACATTAAAGTTGAACTGAAAAGAATATAAAGCCAGACGAGGAC